AGTCACCTCTCGGAACATCTGAGGCGACTGGGACTCCGGGACGGAACGCTCCAAGCTCAAATGCAGAAGGCGGTGCTCCTCGATACCGCCCGCATCGTCCGCCGGTTTCTCTCCCCTCTCACCCTAACCCTCGGCCGTTTGGTCTCCCCTGCCGAGGGCTTCCGTCTGGTTGGGTCCTATTTATTTATGTATTACATGTTATATTTATATCTGTATATTTATTTTTATTCATAATATTTATTTTATAGATGCAATATATATTTATGTGTTTATTATTTATCCCCAAACCCAACCAGACGAGAAAACAAATAAATACCCCAAAATAATAATTGAAATTGATATACTCTTCGCAGCCCAAAGCTACGAAGTGTATGTTAATTTAAATATTTGGGTCAAGCGAATACTTCCGACCTCAAAGATGATGAAAAGAGAAATCTCATTGAAAGGGAACCGCCAGCGTTGGCAGTGAGAGCAATGTGGGCTGAGTCGCAGTTCTGATCGTTCTGATCTTGTGATCAAAAGTGAGTTCTCTACTTCAAACAATTTGCAAATATATCAGCTTTCAATTGAACTTGTGCTGTAGTGCATCAGGGATGTTTATTCCTGATGCTGAGATAGGGATAAACATCCCTGATACTGAGATAGGCAGAAACATGCAACAATATAATTACAACCCTGTATGCATCCTACAGGTTTGTAATTATATTGGTACAAACAGAAATGCGCATTTATTGGTTTGCAGAATAGTGCGTAAAATGTGCATAAAGGGCGCACCAACAGCATCATAGTCATAATTGCGAGCAAGCTGGACTGCACTTTTTTATGTGAGAAAGTGGCAAACGAGCCGGCGGTTCACCTGATGTTAAGTGATAACCGCCCATGGACATTTGCAACATTCATAGGCTTGCAAATGCGTTGTCACCTCTAAATAAAGTGGGCCCCGGCTACCTCACTCACCAGACGAAACGCAGATGTGTAACACTTCTACTTTACGCCGTTCTCTTTTGAGGTCGTGGTACTTACCCGGGCGGACCCGCCCATTCGTGCAACAGTGTTGCGTGGCCCTACCATCGCAACCGCACTTATGTTAATCATCACTGCGGTATCTAGTCGAAAGGCGTAGCAACTATTTATATTTACGTTGTTTAGGTTATATGCTATTCTACAACCTGCATTTTACAACTGTTAACAATTCGGTGAATCTTAATTATTTTTTTAAATAAAAATATAAAGAATCCTACTTTAGATCCTCATACACACCCATACACGAGATATCGATATTATAATAATTAGACGCCGGTTTGTTACTTAGGTATAGATAAGTATACTAATTTCTGGTATAGCATTGGTATCATTTTATAAACCTTTCTTTTTCTAGTGTTATTTTACAGTTTTTCTAAGAACTTTAGTTTTATTCCATTATTGCAATATAATTTATAATTTTTTCATCTAAACATGAAAGTCGTAAATAAAGTCATAATGTACATTATTAAGAAAATATTCTAGATAGAAGGTGCAAGCAATTTTCAGTAATGATGTAGATAAAACGCACTCTTATCGGAATTTTACGACTATTTGTCATTACTGCTTCGGTTTTCATCGAAAAGTGAATTTTAATGTTCCAAGATAAAGCAAATAAGAAAACAATGACTTTTTGAAATGGTGAACCTAATCATACCTTGTATATGTAGAATCAATGCCTTACCTAAATATATGTTAAAACATGTCGGACAACTCGTACTCGCAGTACGGAAATTGCGCTTATGACTTTGTGTTTGTTTTACAAACCTTTAGTTGCAGAATTATTAGTTGTCAATTTTGTTACTAATGCACAAAAAAAAAGAAATTATAGTAAAACCCTTAATAATAAGTTAGTTCTGTAAATAAGTTAGTAATCATGAAGAAAAAATTGACAAAAAAAAGAGATAGATTATATTTAAAATAAATAAAATAGTCTCCATTTCATATTAAATCGTTCCTAGGTCTTTGGCAGCTCAAATTATAGCTGCCCATGGACATTTATAGTACATGAAGTTAGAGATGCATTGCCCACCTATAAAAAAGTGGGTCCGCGGCTACGTCAATCACCAGACGAGATGCCAAATTATAATACAAAGACTTCTTACCGGTATTCTGTAAGGCTAAGGTCTTGGAAGAAGAAGTCTATGCGCTCTACGTGGCCCTAATAACACAGTTAACATAATAGTGAAGGTGATAGAAGTATCTCTGGCCTCTAATAAATTTAGTTAAGTGAAAAAGAAGTAGGGCCACGCAATATTCTTCGCTATTGCTCGAATGTATGAATTGGCAGGTCCGTCTGGGTAAGTACCACAACCCCACAGAAGACCGGTGTAAAGTGCGAATATTATACTTCCGCGTTTCGTCTGGTGAGTGAGGTAGCCGGAGCCCATTTTATTAAAAGGCGGCAACGAATCTGCAACTTTACGGGTGTGGCAAATGTCCATGAGCGGTTATCACTTAACATTAGGTGAACCGCCAGGTCGTTTGCCACTTTCTCAAAAAAAAATATCTAATATTTTAGGTTTTCAAACGGTACGTGAGTCAACCCATTATAGATTTGTATAACAACATTATTGACTAACGAGACGCCCGCAAAGGCGGGAAAACGACGGTGCTCGCAATCATACAATTAAGAGGTTCTTGCCGCGACTCAGAATGCCTCGTTATCCCTTTGATTTTTGAAAAAAGAATCAACTTTAACTGATTTACTATTCCGAAAAACTTTTCAAAGTTAATTTGGTTTAGCAAGCTTTTGAGCATTGTAAGTGGCGCATCGCGTTTAGCGTAAGTTACTCTTTAAGCCATCTGTAAGTGTATTTTCATCCATTCATATCAGTTAAATAAATTTGTGAAGCAAAGACAACTTCTGGTTTCACCGTTTAAACAAGTTTTAAAATAAAATGACAATTTGACGAGCAATAAATTTATTATAATCCTTAAACAACGCCTTACAATTTAATTATTTACAATATCCATTTCACCACTTACAAATTTACCGTAAACAATATTGTTCCGATCGATGATGCATTGATCCAAATCTCAAATGATTAAAGTAACTTAATTTTACTTATTCGTACTTTTTAAGTGATAACTTTTAGCGTTTGAATTTTAAATATTCGTCTTATCTCTATCTACTATTTATCGGTACGCTAAAATCAAATGTTACATTTTTACAAATAACAAATTGCTTAATAATTTACTTATTTTCATTATATGGTTCTAAAATACACTTTCTAATTAATTGCGATGGTTATTGTTACATCGTTGGTGCTTTTGTTAGAGCATTTAAATTTTAACATTTTGATTACATTTTGTGATGAGATTTTAATTAATACTGATACAAAAAATGGTAACGAAACGAAAAAATGGTACCAACTCTGGAACCGATCCGGAAACTTAGAAGGTCTTGGTCTTTCAGCCGCCTTGGCTGTCAAAATCTTTTTATAATAAATAAACACGGAAGAAATTTTCCCATTTTAGAGCTCCAATTAAAATGTTTCTAGTTTTAAAATGAAAGGAAAATGAAGGAGCACCAGTTTTAAGGTTAATGTATTGATGTATTGGGACAAATAATAAGTAAATTACTATCGTTGAAAAGGTTCCACCTAAAGGAGGTTTATTTTAAAATTCACAGTTGCAATAATTGTAGCATTAGAAGTTATATATAGGTGTACACGCGTTAGAAGTTATACTTCTTTGGCATAACAAGATAAAAATCTTTTCAAAAATTTTATCTTTCTCCTTGTTCTACGTTTGTAGGAAAAACGACACTAACAATAGAAAAAAGCTATTTAATACATCGAAAGTTTTATTATAACAAATTATTTAGTTAAATAAAGTTTATTTAAATACAAAATAAATATCGTGAATACTGTTGTTAATACTCATGTAAACATATGTAGATGTCTAGCTAACTTCAGGGTGTCGGTTTTTCGTGACGGTGTGCGCGCGCATCGTAAAAAATTACTCTCATCATTTTTCCCTAACGCGCCAAAAGAAGTATAACTTCAAAGATTGTTGTTTTTTTGAACCGTTAAAAAGCTAGCATTTATATGCTGTTGCAATGTTAGAAAGAGAATATTTCTCTGAGGCATATATAAACTTTTTCATTATTCAAAGTGTGATTGAAATAAAATAAGGATTTAATTTTAATTTATGTAAAATTCGAGAGCTAAAGAAATTTTAATTGTCATCAAAGCTATACCGAGTACATATATCATGTTTATTGAGTTTACACCTCGCGTTATAAACAAATTTCAGTAGACACTTTATAAGGGACGTCAAGCGTTATTACACAGTATTTTTAAATACGCATGAAGTATTATATTATGTATTAATTTAATACTATATTGTGTTTAAAATTACAATTTACAAATTTTGTGATATCCGCAACATATCGCAATTAACATACCACAACGTAACACACCACAATTAAAAATACACAATTTTTATTTGTGAACAAACGCACCGCTATATTTATATCATCCTCCTCACACATTTATATCATGGATTTAAAAAAGCAATCGGACGCACCAAAGTTTTTACAAGAGCGAACACTATTTCATATAAAATTTACACCAGTGTGACCTACTGATACCGTTAGAACGGTTCGTTTTTAATACTTCTGTGATGTAACCAAATCTAATGCCTAAATCTATGTGTGGTGTGTGAACAAATTAAATTCTCATCAGCCATAAAATAATAACTGGCGATACCTGCAGCAAAGTAGTGAAAATTCTTTGGGTCCCTATATTTTCTGTTATATTATCTTAGAAGCGATTCAAGTTTTGCCTTCAGAGGACCCAAAAACATTTCGCTTTGCAAAATGATAACAGTCGAAACAGTCTTCGTCAAACAATCTTAAATAACGATATATAACCATAATATCGTTTTCAGCTAACGCCTATATGATGTCAATTTACATCAGAGTCCACTTTGTGCTAATTGTGAGTTGCGATCAAGTCCAAACCCTTGCACTAGCAACCCATCAAAGTAACCATGACGCTAAGAAGCGCGGCCGATAAAGGGTACTGCAAGCGCAATTGACCTCCATGCTGCATGGCCGCTGGATGTTCCCCTGGACAAAAGAGATCCATTAAAGTTATTCGTTTTTACTTGTCCACTTTTCATCGTTGTGAGTTTAGTTTATCTTAAACTGGCGACCCGTCCCAGCTTCGCGCAAGTGCAATGTACTATAAATATAAACCTTCCTCTTGAATCAATCTACTAATAATGAAATCATTTAATTATCGTAAGCGTAAAATAATAACTGCATGCTGGTAGGGCCACGATACAGTCTTCGTTGTTGCACGAATGCACGGGTCCGTCCACGTAAGAACCAGGTCCTAATAGAAAACCAGAGTAAAGTGGAAGTGTTACTCGTATATTCTGCGTTTCGTCTGGTGAGTGAGATAGCTGGACCCACGTTATTGAGGTGGTAACGTATTGGCAACCCTACTGTTCTTGCAAATGTCAATGGGCAGCGGTTATCACTTAATGTCAGGTGAACCGCCAGCTCTTCTCACAAAAAAAACTTTTGTTAAATGAATTGAAGAAGCATTGATTGTCATCATCATCATCATCCTCCTGCCCTGTCCCATCTACATAGCCCACCTTGGGAAACAAACACCCAGATCCGGAACAATTACCCGGAATTCACACAAACACTTGTTCCGCGTGGGAATCGTAACCACGACCTCTAAGCCGAAGCCAATAGCTTAGCAATGACGCCAGCGAGTAATTGTTTGTACATACACAAATTTAAACGTGTACTCGTATGCTTACCACTTAACACGTGGACTAGAACAGTCCTGGGGTTGGCGTTCTTCGGTTCGCACGTGTACCGTCCGGAGTCCGGGGCCTTGGCCTTCTGGACCAGGAGGTGGGAGGTGGTCGTCTCCCCCTTTTCCGTGATGACAGAGACCCCGCCCCGTGGGGAGTCGTAATTGATTTCCTACAAACATAAAATGCGAGCGATGTCTACTTCGCCAGATACATTTATCGGGTCAACAGTTAAAACTTATCAAAAAATGGTCATCAGCTGAAGTGCCAATCCGTACTGTATTTACTTATTATAGTATAGTATACGTCACTAAGTATACTATACTTAGTGTGTACATGGTATTTACTTTTGAATGAAGCGTTAACTTTTAACATAAATCAAGTCCAGCGAAAGGGGCGGTTGCCCATGCAGTTAATTTTGGCAACGATTCAAATCCTTGCGATAGACTTGTAAATGAGGCTAGTTTTAATGAGTCCCGCTTTTCGGATTGTAATTAAAAATTTTAATATACTAGATGTCTTTATAAAATTAAGCATGCACTTTGTTGAATAAATTCACAAATGTATTCGTTTAGCAGCTTTGCTATATTTGCTATATATTTGTTTGCACAATTATTCTATAATCTTTAGCAATATAGCAACCGATAATGTGAAGTATTTCTTGCCTTGTAATAGTATACATAATTATATTACATCATATAAAATAGACCGAAAAGTGTTTGACACGAATTTTACTGACACAGTCATTGACTTACCAGTAACTATTTATAGACGGTAACGGGTTGTACATATGCGAATAAACAAAACGGTAGAGTACCTCATCGTTGTGAGTCCATTTTATGGTAGGAGGAGGTTCTGGTGAGTGCTGGACTACGCACGTCAAGTTGATGGTGCTACCCATGTTGATGAAAAGCTCCGGTCCACCCAATATTGTCGTCAAGGGTTCTGATTACAAATAAAACCTTATTTATTATCCCAATAGGCTTATTGGCGTGCAGCTCGCTCCCAATTTTAATACAAGTAATTTGATAATTACGATTAAAACCAAAAGTTTAATATGACAAATATTTGCTGTCTAAATTATTAACATTCATTATAGATACGTCGTACGTAGCAATTGAAGTATTATACTATCAAATAAATTGTTAATTTAAGAATTGATAATGTAATTTAACGTTAACATGAAGATACAAGTAACTGTATCTAAATATTTTTCACACAGTGCACGACGACGCATCTGCAAAGCGCCCACGCTAACTGTGCACACGATACTTCAGACCACCATAAATCCCGACGGAAATGCCTTTACCAATATCGGGCTTTCAACCAGGTATTACAAAGCAATTTACCAACAACGGAGAGGTACATGCGGTGCCCGATGGGGGGAGTGGTCCCCACTTGGCACTCGTAGATACCGGAGTCCCGCCGCTGCGGGAACCTTATCTGGACAATAAACATTTTACGTTTCGCTAATGGTGAACGACCTACATCAACGGCAGTTGGCTGCCAAGCTTTAAGTTTCGTGAAATTATGTAAGCGCGTTTTGATAATGGGGAATTTATTACTTGCGGTGACAGGTTTTATTCAATGCAAAATATGAAGCATGCATGCAAATTATGGTAAAATGTGAAGCGAGCTTAGTGGCTCGGAATGGTGACTCAAAAGTTCGATCCTCCAATCAGAAACCGTGTAGCATACAAATAAGACATCCGGATACATGATAATGTAGCCCATCAGCGCTATAATTAACTTAGTTTATTTATTACAAAGATCCGTTGTGGGTCTCGCCCTCCGTAAGAACAATAAGAGTGTAAGCTTCAACAAGACAAGATAAACATCGCTCCGTCTAGGATACCAGTAACAATAGAAACGTTTCCTATCCGAAAACCTATTTATTCACTGAAAGAAGAAATTTTAACCAGAAGCTCCATTTGCGATAAAGTAAAGAGTACATTAAATTTTTATAGGAAGTAGTTATTTTTATTCTTTTCTGTACTTTTAAATGAGTCCAAAATAAGCATTACTACTTTAGATCCTAAGACTTACATGATAAACATGATATAGGTACATTTAGATGAAAACGAAAATGAATACAGATACATTAATATTTTCTGAATTTGTATGTACGGGTAATGCCCACGGCTTAATGCGTATTAGAGTAAAGGAATAAAATCCTTACACCACAGCAAAAAACTTATTAAAATAGCGATAACTGTTGGTCATGCTTACCTTCAATATCCAATCCTCAGTGTGAGGATTATGTACGCTAATAAATCTCTGGTCTGAAGTGTATGTCATCCTTCCAGATGTAAGAAGATGAATGTCACGATGTCTGATCCAGGACACCTGTATAATTTATTGTTCAAACTTCAGATGTTTTATCCAAAATGATTTTTTGTAAATCATGCATATTTGTAAATTAGAGATAAGATTACTTTAGATAATTTAATCATAACCTTTTTTAAAAAATGTTTGCTGGTTGTTGGACCTTCTGCCTGCGGTAATCACTTAACAGCATGTGAACCGACTGTTCACATAAAGAATATTCATTGTATATGAACCCTTCAAAATATGTTGTTCCACTCTTACCGTTCTGTTCCCCAAGTCATGGACTCGACAATTCAACTGCGCCGTCTTTCCCACTAGAGCCGTGACGTTTCTGGAGTAGGCCACGTCAAAGTGGGGCCCTCTCTGCGCGAGGCCCAACTCCACGTCAGGATAGTCCAGCTCTGGCACCCCGTTGGCGCTCAGCCCGTTCGTATTGTCAGTGCAACCTGTTAACAAAAGACAAAAATGTCAAATGTTAACGAAAAGCTAATGAAGTTACATGGAACGCATTAAGTGTTACGTTTACGTTACGTTTATTTTATTACTTTTTTGTTCGTTTTATTCTACAGCAGTTACGTTTATGTGTTGATTATGTTTTGTGTTATCTATATACTTCTATAATTTTTATTTCTTTTATTTTTTTTTAAATTTAGTTTCTTGTTGTTTGCGTCCTTTTTCTGGTTAATATTTCGTTCTTTCCTTCTTTCTTCATGTTGAAGTTCGAAAAATTGCTAATCGATTTGGGGCCACGATCAGGCGAATCTGTGGTTTTTCATTACCTTTTTTATTCAATCAATCAATCAATAAAAAATCTTTATTCAAATAGACGCGTTCTTATGAATCGTCAAATTATGCATAAAAAAATATACATATAGGTTCGTAAGGTACCACCGGTTCGGAAAGCAGTTTCTGTTGAGAATATTTATTGAAGTTACTTAAAAATTCTCCCTGCAAAATAAAATAAACCCTCACCACCTGTCAAGTTCAGGGTTTGATTGTTAGTACTTTCGGTAAGCCGCAAATTACACGAATTTACATATGACATTATGGTTAAAGATTTATCTGTTGTTGCATTTGATTTTTTATAATTTTAATAAAATAATATTTACAATATCTTACTAAATTACATGTTATCTAAACCTAGCCCACGCGGCATAGTGCCAAGAATGCTAGCTGCATTCCCTCGCTAAATAGTTATGCTTAACCTTTGAGCGAGAAAAGAACCACCCCGTTTGTCACCAGCAACGGCGATAATTCCATTAAATCTTTAAAAAATTTCAATGTGCTGCGACCCGGTGGACCTAAAATTTCAATAGCGAATGGCCCCAAATTTTCTTATATAAGTTCGAATTAAATTGCAATATTTAAACAGTTTAAAACGACTTAAAACATATTAAATGAACGGTCTGATAGAATAATAACTGGTCTACGGATTTTATCGCGTTGCGGCTTAAATCATTTACTATACTTAACGTGACCAACAAATTTTGGTGCTTTTCTCTTTTTCTAGAGCTTCGTTCAAAAACATGTCGTTCATTCGGAGATGATTCGGGAATTACCTTTGTTTACATAAATAAAAGCACCCGGCTCCATCCCTCTCACAAGTAACCACCATTCATTTACCAGCACACGTTGGCTATTCATACAAGAAATTTATGAGGGCATCTTATTCAGTAAAAAAATCATATATTTATGTACCGTTCTATTGGGGTCACCTAAAATACAGAAAATAATTCAGGTCACGCGTCCGAACCCCGGCATAATGCCGGCCACAATAAATAATAGTCACCCACAAAATAGACCGGGTTTAATATTAAACATTGTGGCGTTTACTAAGCGGCTACTTTTGTCTCCTTCGAGTATTATGAACGCTATTCAAGGCAAAGACAGGCATTGTACGCTCCACTGAGTTACGAGCGCAATATATCCAGCCATTATACTACGATCCGTTTCTATACTCGCTTTCAGTTTAGCCATTTGTACAAATGAAACTCCGCTTAAGTGAGACGAAGTTTCATGGCGAGAAATCAAGTTTCCTCCCATAACTTTGTTTTCTTTTTACCTCTCCTTTGCCAGAACCTACTTGTGAAAATTTCCTTTTACTGTGTTATTTTTATTGATCTGCTAAATGGCGCACCATACAACTTTCCGTGTTTAGACTTGGAATTAGTCCTCATGAAGTTAAAAATAAGAGATGACCTATTTTTAGTAATTATCACAAATAAATATGACCGAAACTTAAGCAACAACACGGCTATTCTTTAACCGTATCAAAGACGACAAAGATTTCTATTTACGGTTTTTATTAAACGATTTAGCTAGGTTTAATTTTTAGAAAATGTCTTTTTATCCCTGTTTTCAGGGAATGAAAAATAGTATTCGAATATGACGCTAAATTTCGCCGCAAAAAATATATTATAATAGCTCGGTCCTTAATCGGGCGGCCCCAAAACAGACGGCCGCGGTTCGTTTCACGATCATTTACAAACTTTTTTGTTTTACGTTTTTTTTCTATACCAGATCATTTTTTTATTTTTTTTATTTCCAAAATACATGATTTACCAAAAAAACTCAGTCCTCCAGGTACTAGAAATATATTCTTGTTCCTCTTCACCTTTAGAAATGAGAAATAAGCAGCGATGAAAAAACGTTGCGTCAACTCCTAGGTTTCAGATAAATACGAAAAATATAGATGACAGATGAGGAAAGGCTTTCCAACTAATAGACAGCAAATGCGAAACGTGTCTTGCGAGAATCCATCAACTGACTTCCCAGGCAGCTATAATGAAACTACATTTTTGTACACAAAAGGACTAACAGTTTTCATGCTTCGGAACTGGTTAAGATGCCCAAAGCAAATTAAAAGCTTTTGCTGAATTTAATACACGAACACTGATGCAATTTAAATAGTTCACCTATTTATTATTTCCTTTAACGATTCGTTTTCTCCATTACATTTTATATGTTAATAAGTTCAACTTAAGTTATTTTTGATAGAAACAGGTGACTTAACTGATGGTAAGTAAGGAATAAGTCAGTGCGATAGATTTCACCCTACCTTTGTGTAAATTTACGCAAAGCAGACGGGGAGCACGGACGATGTCGCTCTTTTGACAAAGAAATCTTTGTGCAGAATGTTCCGTCGCAAACTTAGGAATATATATTACAATAGTATAAGTTTCTATTTAAATTAAAGTAAAGAAAATTAACAGTCTATACAGGTCTCACTGCCGGGAAAAAGCCTCCTCTATACAGAGGGTATCAGGGCATAGTCACCACGCGGCCCCACTGCGGATTGGCGAACTTCATACTTTCGAAATTTTTTAGTTTTTATTATAATCTCGAAAACATGCAGGCTTCCTCACGATGTTTTCCTTCATCGCGGAGCACGTGATAAGTCATCAGGAGTGCTGCCATCGGGGATCGAACTCAGGTTGCTCTAGTATATAGAGGCTAGCGCCCGGACACTGAGCTGTCACGGCTCTGGTCCTCCGGTTTCTATTTGTGCGTAGCATTAATAACACTTCAGTCTCACCTGTGTGACTCACTAGGGCGAGTACCCCCATCGCGCCTAAAAGCAGAGCCATGATAGGGGCTAAATCACGTGACCGTTCATAACATCCATTTGCCGCGCCGTTTCACCCTTTACCCGGACATCTGCAACAGAAAACGGGTCGTTAGTCGAAGCGTTAAGGAATATTTTGCTATGTTCGCCGAGTGAATGGTTTTGCTTATGATTCTGTTGTATAGGACATGAAAGGGGTGTCGTTACGGCCCTTTTTTACTCCAGCGAGGAAGAAACATGTAGAGGACGTCACTTTCTAAGCGTTGTTTACGTTAGAGGAATACCTGTAATGGAAGTTGACCATAATAAAAGAACTAGATGGTAGCATTAAGATATCTATGTATGAGGTGAACTAAGCATTCAAATTTCAATTAGTTCCATGAAGTAATTTCCAAGTATTAATCGGTTCGATGTTCTGACTACGTGATCTTGGAATTTGCCACTGATATATACCTAAGCTAATTCTAATATATAAGCTAAAAACCCAACTTCACATAATTGAAATTAAATATTAACAGGAAATATATTTTTTTTTTTTGACGAAGACATTTAATGTCTCAAGTGCATACAAGGCCTAAAGTGTTATCTGAATTTATTGCTTGCTTCGCATGGGTGCAATGTATTATACATATAATCGTTCCTGAGTGATTCAAGCACTCTTTCTATTAAAAAACCGCATCAAGGTCCGTCGCGTAGTTTTAAAAATCTAAGCATTCATAGGATCAGACAGACAGCGGGATGACATTGATTTATACTGTGTAGTGAAGATATTTATTATTTCTTTCTATACTAACGGACCCAAAAGACGTTGTCTTCTAAACAGATCCTAAATCCGTCAACAATATAAAAATAAAAACCAGGAAAGTGCAAGTTGGACTCGCACACGAAGGGTTCCGTACATGTATAAAATATATAATATAAATAGTTTTTATAAATATTTCATAAATCAAAACGGAAAAAAATCATGTTGTACTTTAATATTTTGTATTCTGTTTTTTAGTTTTGGCTTTTGTGTTGTATTAGCGGCAACAGAAATACGTTATCTGTGAAAATTTCAACTGTCTAACTATAACGGTTCTTGAGATGAAGCCTGATGACAGACGAACCGACAGACAGACAGACAGCGGAGTCTTAGTAATAGGGTCCCGTTTTACCCTTTGGGTACAGAGCCCTAAAAGTATTTTGTAGTTGACCGATTAGTGATTTCTGAACCACTCAAATCCACTTTTCACCCGAACACACACAAAATTTCATCAAAATCGCTAAGCCATTTAGGACGAGTTCAGACACATTAAATATATAAAGATAAAACGCTCCGACGCTTGGTTGATTCAAATTTTCCGAGGTGTAATCCGAATAATATGAATGCAGTAATTTGAAGTGGACACAACTTTCAATGATAACTATAACAAAATTACATTTATTTCCAAAACAAATTAGATACATATAAAAAAATACAAAAAAGTGCCATTGGCGCAACACTATAAAATATTATATTAGAATACGCAATGTTATGATGGCAGTTGACAAAACTAACTATCGCAGAATGGAGGAGTAATAATAGACATCGCTTATCTAAGTTCGTAGCCCGTAGATGCCCGTAGACGCCCGTATCAGCGACGTAGACCTCATAAAATTGTGACGTCAATTGGCGTAGGAAACAATTTGATATTCTGCTATCTTATATAATTGTTGTTCTTGTTCACATTAATGACACGTGGGTATAAATTTCCATATATTTTTCCAACACACATAACGTCCTCATCCCTCGCATCAATTTAACAGGCTTACTGTTAAATTTTGTTCGGCTACGAAGCTCTCTTAAATAGCGATTATGCAAATGGACCCGTATAATATCCTCGCGTTACATTCGTGAATAAATTCGAAAATCGTGATTAGCCTCTCTCCATTGTTTAATTCGTTCAAAGTGAATACTCACGTCAAAATTATTTTCATACTCAAAGCATTCCATCAGATTATGTTACATAATAAATAATTTCATTGGTTAAAAAAAATACCTCAGCCGCAGGTTGAAGGTAATTTTGAATACGAAACAACTGTCTTATAGTGACTCAGTATAGCATGACCTTATAACAACCATTACAGACTCCAGCTGCGACTAAATACTTAATTATTATAATACAAGCCTTGTTGATGATCCAGAAAAATAACAGGTATAGAAAATACCTCTTGGTAACAACGCACACATAATTAGACTGTAAAAGTTTATTTTTCTTTGCAGGCCATGGGCGATCCTAGAAACCAATTAAATATTAATATATTATAAATATATATAGTTAATATTATATATTAACTGCTATATTGGAACATCAAGTGGGAAGGAACTTGCATATATTATAATGGTTACTAAGTTCCTCACAAAGATGCATAATATCTTTTATTGACACTGCTCTTGGGATAATTGTAGTGACCAAATAAAATTGCGACGTACTATTGCCACTCACTGCTGTAATAGGGTCACGAAACAGTCTCCGCTGTTGCACTTATGGGCAGGTCCGCCCGGGGTTAAAGCGTGATGTGTTAGTGTTACACTTCTGCGTTTCGTCTGGTGAGTGAGGTGACTGGGGCATACTTTTTATAGGTTGCTGCCGCATCTGCAGCTCTTTGGGTGTTGTAGATGTTCATGGGCGGCGGAATTCACTGAATTTTTCAAATAAAAATACAATGAAATATTGTTATGAAATGTACTGAGAAAACAATATGACCGGGCTTTGGTTGAACTATGCGATCACCATTAATGGCCATATCACGCTTACGGCACTAATGAGAATAAATGCGTATGTCTACTCGAAGAAGGCGATTTTACGGCCTGTTTCAATATTCTATCTATAGATAGATTTGATAACAAGCGATAGGTATTTGACATTGGCTCTGCATTACGTACGTGAAAATTCTATCTGCAATAACCAAATGTATCTGCAGATTGAATATTGAAATCGGCAGTTAATCGTTAATATCAGCATTCGCTGCGTGTATAATTCGATTATTATTTACTTATTTTTCATAAAAATGATGTCATGTAAAATATCGTGCAGCCGCATTAAATTAAAAAAGTTATTTGCATATATCCTTCAGATCCACTCACTTTGAACGAAACGAACAAAGCTATGCAAAGACGAGTCCTTTTATAAACAGTGCCATGTTTGCATTTGACAATTTGTTTGCGCTGTAAACGTTTTTGAGTGTTTCTTTCACCCTAAATGAATATTTAGAGTGAAGCTCTGCAATTCCTTTAGCAGAATCGTTCGGAGTTTTTATTCATGTGTAGTTAAATAAATTAAACATGAACAAACTTGTGTTTTTCTGGAAAAAAACAATTGAATATACAAATATAGAGCCGTGATAGCTCAGTGTCCGGGCGCTCGCCTTTAGTTAAATATACTCGAGCAACCTGAGTGCGATCCCCGATGCCGGCACCAATGAAGTTTTTAACTTTAAGTGCTGACTTATCACGTGCTCCGCGGTGACCCAGTCAGATAATAGCTACCGATCGAGCCGAGGTCCGGCCCTCTCGGGCACCCTCGAATCGGAATGCTAAACGCGTGCTGAGTGACAGCCCAAGCCGAGGTCCCCTCTCGGGGACCCTTGAGCCTGATCACTCCATGGAGCCCCCGCCAAAGCGCCCTAAGAGCTTGGCGGCCTCCCAAACCGGTGAACTAAATAGCGTGACGGCCCGAGCCGAGGTTCCTTCGGGAGCCCTCGAGCTTAGTCACCATAACGCGTAATAATAAATACGCGAGGTTCAGGCTAGGCGCCTCGAGCGCCCGGCCACCTCAAGTCCGTCGGAACTGTAAAGGCCCCTAAGGCCAACAGTGGCTCATCCAGCCAAAAAAAAAAAAAAAAAATCCGCGGTGAAGGAAAACATCGTGAGGAAACCTGCATATTTTCGAAATAATTACAAAAAAAAATATATTTCGAAGATATGTGAAGTCCGCCAATACGCCGTGGGGCTGCGTGGTGGACTATGCCCTGATACCCTCTCTATAGAGGAGGCCTTTGCCCAGCAGTGGGACATGTATAGGCTGTTACTTTACTTTACTACTTTTATAAATTAAATATAAATGATTTCCATTTGAAATTAAGCGGAGAACTTATGTAAAGAATCCATGACTAACAATCGTTTTTTTTTTTAATATTAGAAGGTGAAAAGAGAGCTGGCGACTCACCAGAGGTTAAGTGATAACCGCCACCCATTAACATTTGCAACACCCGTAGGTTTGCAGATGCGCTGCCATCTTTTAATAAATTGGGTCCCGTTTACCTCACTCACCAGACGAAACGTAGAAATGTAATACTTCCACTTCACGCTGGTCTTCTGTGAGGTCGTGGTACTTCCCCGGACGGACCTGCCCATCCGTGCAAGAGCGAAGAAAGCTGCGTGGCCCCACCCAGAGAAGCTGCATAGACCTACCACAAAAGCTGTGTGGCTCTACCGTAGAAAAAAGTTATTAAAAATATAATCTTTCTAGAATATATAGTTATGTTTATAACAAGTGAATATTATAAATAAAATAAGTAATGGATTTGTACACGTTTAATGCTCAACTGACGCTCGATACAACCACTGGGCGAACACGTAACAATTTTTTATGTAAATACCCACTTACAAATACTACAATACCTCCACCAATATTGAATAACTACTTAACTAACAATTAATAATTTACTTAAAAAATAACAATAATTTACCTCAACTAAACTAAAATTTATACAAGGGATTCTTGTTCCTAGTAGAACGTACCGGTTTAAATGTGCTCTGTTCCGAGGAACATCCTCCTGATATACAGTCCTTTAATTGCTCATTAGGATCGTTCACTGGATTATGATTTAATGAATCAGAAGGAGGTACCTTGGTGACTGGTTCTTCGATATTACCATTGATTTCGTCCTCCTGGGTCTGATCCTTACTATTATCAGGCAAGTTACAATCAGAAAATGTCAAATCATCTATATCACTAGTATCTTTATATAGGCCTTTATACAATAACAAATGATCAACAT